CGAAACATTCCTTATAAGGGTGTGAAAACCTCTTCCTAGTAGATGTGTTTTAAAACCGTGAAGCTGACAGCGATACATAACGGGCCAAAGTGGACAATATCTGCTAGTACATTATATATATTTGAATCACTACAACTGATTTTCTATAAGTAACATTCATGATGTCTTTATACCATGGGGCAGCCAAGGAGAGTATATGTATTGGATGGATGTCATGCCCAATATTGCTGCTAAATGTGTGGTGTATTTTTCACTTTCAGAAAATGGGGAAGACATTCAGGTATTGAGATATGAGCATGGGCAGAGATATGAATCACACTATGATTACTTTGTTGACAAGGTGAATATTGCCTGGGGAGGACATCGTTTGGCTACTGTCCTCATGTATCTCTCTGATGTGACCAAAGGCGGTGAAACAGTTTTCCCCATGGCAGAGGTTAGTTCGAGTGTTGATTCAGAAACTACTTTACTAGCTAGAACTACACTATTATACTCCTTTATGTTCACTTTATTTTAGGGAAAGATTATTGAGTCTCTTAAGTTAAATAAGCTGGGCAGAAAATGATGATATGTGTGAGATCCCATGTCGGTTGGGGAGGAAAACGAAGCATTTTTTATAAGGGTGTAGAAACCTCCCCCTAGCAGACGCGTTTTAAAAACCTTGCGGGAAAGCTCAAAAACAAAAAAATCTGCTAGCAGTGGGCTTCTGTTACAAATGGTATTTGAGCTAGACACATGCAATGTACCAGCGAAGAGGCTGAGTCCCGAAGGGGGTGGACACGAGGCAGTGTGCCAGCAAGGACGTTGGGCTCCAAAGGAGAGTGGATTTAGGGGGTTCCACATCGATTGGAGAAGGAAACGAGTGCTAGCGAGGACACTAGACCTTGAAAGAGGGTGGGGAGGAGAATGAAACGTTCTTTATAACCTCCCCCTCCTTTACTAGCTAGAACTACTCTACGATAGTCCTCATGTTCAATTGGAAGATCACCTCTTCTTATATCTCAGTACTCTCTATATATAATAAACCTTACCACTCAGCTTTCTGATGGAAAGGCCCACTCTCTAACTAGGGTTTTTCTGGGAAGACTCAGTGTTGGATAATCCAGAGAACTTTACCATAATTTTCTAGACCTATATATTGTTCAGGAAGACGATATCAAATCCCGTTACCCCATTCAAAACTCTTTCCATGATTCTGTTTCTCAATCAAAATGTCTATGAATTGAACCATATTCATTGTGGATGCAATAGAATCCACCTTAGAGGGGCATTAATTGTTGTAGAAAATTTCAATTGCTAAGAACTGAAATTTTCGATTTTCGATTTTCGATTTTCGATTTTTGAAGTCTCCAAGATTCAAACAAAACTATTGGTGAATTGGACTACACATGAAACATCTTGGATTACTGAAACTTTTCATCAACTTTCAATAAAACTCAATAATTTGTATTAAAGTCGCATATGAATTTGTTTAACCTTGTTATATATAACCTCTGTGAGCAGAAATCTCCCCACAGGAGGGCTTCTGAAACAGACGAGGATCTCTCAGACTGTGCAAGGAAAGGAATCGCAGGTGAATTGTTACTTCTTCAGTACTTATCAAACTATAAAACTTGCATGAAATCGATTTGCTTTATCTCATTTTATTCCCATTTGGAACGGTGTAGTGAAACCAAAGAAAGGCGATGCCCTTCTCTTCTTTAGCCTTGAACCAAATGCCATCCCGGACACCAAAAGTCTACATGGAGGTTGCCCTGTTCTTGAAGGAGAAAAATGGTCGGCAACAAAGTGGATTCACGTAGATTCTTTCAGCAAAAACTTAGCAAACGTTGGGAACTGCACTGATCTAAATGAAAGCTGTGAGAGATGGGCCGCCTTAGGGGAATGCACCAAAAACCCAGAGTACATGGTCGGATCTCCAGAGCTTCCTGGCTACTGTAGGAGGAGTTGCAGGACCTGTTGATCTCAACAGTATGTTCTTTCCACTCATATATTTCCATACCTTTTATTTGGTGAATATTAATTGTAGTATTTTTAAATTATTGGGTTCGTTTGAAATTTCCTTTCCTTTTGAGTGGCACTTTGCTTTGTTTCCCATAGTGAGGTATTGTTTCTTCCAAAAGGAAATACATAATGACTTAGATAAAGTTGTCACTCAGTCATGAATTCTTAACCTTTTATTTTTTGGTGTCGTTTGGCACGTCAGTCGTTGTGGAATGAAAAGCACTTATTGCAGTCTGAAGCACGGAAGCATAAAGCAGTAGCCTTGGTAATTATAACCCTTTCTTTTTTCCTTTCGTTTTTCAATTGATAAGACTACCTTTATTATGTTCATTTTTCTTATAGGAGTATTTTAGCTTTAAAAGCTATAGTTTATCTTTATCTACATTATAGGAAACAGTAATTTGGCTTATGTAGCAACGAAATAGTTAGGGAGGGACTTTTTGAAGTGATTACGGACCTAACTTCTCACTAGGAATATTTTTTTACGAGTTTGAAAACATAATTTCAACCTTTCTAGACATTGAAAATGAATCGTTATTAAGCCATTCCCCCAGCTCGATAGGTGGTAGTTGGCTTGTTGCTGCTGGTTGACCTCATCTCTTGGCATCATATTTTGCTCTGTAAATATGGTTGTGTGATGAGTTCAAAAAATTCAAGGAACCCAGCAGGACTTCAAGCCATCTGAAACTGAAAGACAAAGAAGGAAAGAGGTCAAAATCTAATCGTCATCCTCTCACTCAGTTTTTGACAAATTCTTCATTTAATATATTAGTGAGAAAAAATTAGGTGGGATGTCCCACATTAGTTGGAGAGGAGAACAAAATACCGTTTATAAGAGTGTAAAAATCCTCTCTTAGCATACGCATTTTAAAGTCTTGAGGGGAAGCCGCGTTTTAAAGCCTTGAGGAGAAGCCTGAAAGAGAAACCCAAAGAGACAATATCTGCTGGTAGTGAATTGAAGGAAAGATTCCATAAGCGACATGGTGATAATAGGTAAAAGTGCGAATATGCAAATGTTGGACATATCAATAATAAAGCAAGCTACAAGATAATGAACAACAAGATGCTTCACTCAACGGGCATCTCTTAAGTGGCCATGGAGATTCCTTCTCCCATCACCCAATAACACTATGGTATGAACTGCTAAATCTTTTTTTTTTTTTAATAATTATTTTTTCCCATCTAATAAGCTAAAAGTACTTGAAAGCTATTTGGTCAACCCGCTAATTATTTAATCTTTAGGTGGGAGTGATGCCTTAGGAACAAATTGCAGGTACTTTAATAATATGGGGTAAGACTTGGTGGTATAACAATGCCATTACTTTTTTTAAAATAAATTTTTATTTCTCTAATATAGAAAATGGAACCTTCCATTATTATTTTTTTATTAAAAAAATCTAGAAAAATGCAAACTTTTCTCGTTCTTTAAAATAGATGTTATTTTTCAATTTTAAATAAAATATTAACATAACCTATGTGATAATATCTTACCATTCTTCTTTGTCTTTTTATGTTTGGGTTATTTTGAAGTTTTAAATAATAATTTTGAAGTTTTAAATAATATAAAGCAATAAATGGAAATTTAAGATTTAAAAACGAAATCAACGTAAAGTAATAGTTTATATTAGATGAACACGACTCTCCACAATGGTATGATATTGTCCACTTTGAATATAAGCTCTCATGGCTTTGCTTTGGACTTCCCCAAAAGGCCTCATACCAATGGAGAGAGTCGTGTTCGTCTAACATAGTATCAGAACCATGCCCTAAACTTAGTTGTGCCAATAGATCGACAAATTCTCAAATGTCGAACCAAGGACTCCAAATGAGTGATTAAGGGGAGGCGCACTTTGTTCGAGGGGAGGTGTTAGATGATGAAAGTCCCACATCGGCTAATTTAGAGAATGATTATAGGTTTATAAACAAAGAATACTCTCTATGGGGCCTTTAGGGGAAACCCAAAGCAAAGCCACGAGAGCTTATGCTCAAAGTGAACAATATCATAGCATTGTGGAGAGTCTGTTCGTCACATTATTACTAAATCAGAGTTTTAATAGAATAATATCTATATAATTGATAGATATTTTTTTAATTAAAATGTGTTTATTTATTGTATATCCAACAATTGGGTTAAATTCACGACCACACTGCAGTTTTATCTCCTTTGGAAGCTTAATAGAATATATTCGTTTTTACTATCAACAATGAGAATATGGTTCCAACCCATCATTACGAGAATTCTGTTTTTTCTTTTGTTTTCTAATAAAATAATAATTAAAAAATAAAAGTATATATATAGTGGAGATTGAAAAAATGATAAGGATTCCCTATCCACGTTGTTAGTGACTCTCGAAGAAATAAATGGGCGATGAACAAAATGCTAAGGCATACCATTGTCTTCTTTAACCTCATAAAGCAAAAAGGGGTTTTGGTCCAATTTTCTGTCCCTTCTTGGTTTTTAATCAAACCCATCTAAAACAAATCAAATAACTTTAGCTTAAGATACTGATTTCACTGAAAGAGAGCTGTAATAATATTATATAAAATATAGAATCTGAATATTTTGAGAGGACAAGATTATTCATTTGAATTTCAAGATTTCAATCTAATTCTATTACTGTTCTAAAGTGTTCAAAATATTATACAAAATCATTTGCTATATACATCACACAAAGTTAAGGTTTGAAATAAGAAATAATTAGGAGTACAAGGACCAAGGGCTAAAGTAGAATATGGTAATAGTGCGTGCAAGGACAATAGATGACAAGAACCATGAAGTTTTATTTCAGATAACATCAAGCTTATAACTTAAAACGATTAACCACAACCAATAGTTTCTCAAGAAAAAAAGAAAAAAAGACCAGTCAAAAGGAATATTATAATAAACCAGAACAGAGAAAACAATGTTGAGCTCATAAATGAATAAATGACACAAAGGCCGAGAGAGAGAGAGAGAGAGAGAGAGAGAGAGAGGAAATTGGGGAGGTTGGGGACACAAATAATCAGCAGCAGCACAGAAATCCAGAGAAGACGGAAAGTTGGGTTGGTCTGCTAGTTTAAGTGCAACCAATAATAATACCTAAAAGTAAAGGGAAAAGCTTTGCATTATTACTCAAAAATTTTGAAAGGTTTTTTCTGGCATTCAAAACCCTTTGTCTGAAGCAATTTTTCCTCAAAAATCTGCAATTTTGAGTTGCAGTTTTGATAACGGAGTTTTTTTGTTTCTTGCGTGTAGTGCAAGCAAGCATGGAGGTGGGATTGATGCAGAGACAATGGGTTGAGTACACAAAGTCGCTATTCATGGAGGTATGAACAAAAACGAAGATCAAATCTTTAATGGGGTTTGTTTTCTTGCTTTGTAGTTTCAGTTTCTTGATTTATTTATTGTTTGGTTTCTGGTGTTTGGAGAGAGTAGGGTTTCTTGGACAGTCAGTTTATAGAGCTGCAGAAACTGCAAGATGAGGGCAACCCAGATTTCATTGTTGAAGTGGTCTCTCTTTTCTTTGAGGATTCTGAAAGGCTTCTCAATGATCTAACCAGAGCTTTGTAAGGCTTCTCAAAGTTTTTTTCCTTTTTTTTTTTTTCTATCTATGGGTTTCTTTGATCCTTGTTTTGATATGAGTTTTCCTTTTTCTCTGAACCTTTTTTTATTTTTTTTACAGAGAAGAGCCTGATGTGGACTTTCAAAAGGTTGATGGCCATGTTCACCAGCTTAAAGGAAGCAGTTCTAGGTAGGCACCAAACTTCTAATACCTGTTTTTTCCTCATATCCTTGTGTTCATGAAGGTTTATGAGCTTTTGGGAGCTATTTCGAAAATTAGTTTCATGGGTTTGTTTATAAAAGTTAATGATATTCGAGGGAAACTGTTACTTAATCATGTTTATGCTTAATTTTTTGCCTAAAAAGAAGGCTAGTTTGCATAAATAGCTTCCAAACAGCCAGTCTTTTTTCCCTAATTTATCAAGCATAGAGTGAATAAAGTTTTCATTTGGCAGCTTGCGATTTTCGAACTCTAAAAGAGAATTAAATATAGTATTCTCTCCAGAAAAAACTCATCAATTTGAGCACTGAAAACTAAACTGAATGAAGGATTTTGTGACTTTTGTGGTTAACAGCATAGGTGCACAGAGAGTTAAAAATGTCTGTATTACCCTCCGCAGCTTCTGTGAGGAACAGAACATTGAAGGGTGAGTGAGCTCTTATCTTTTGAAGGCTAAAGCTGGGTTGTTATGATGCTTAGATTCAAGTACGGTTTTTGTTATTGAATTTTATCTATTTTTCCTTTCAGTCCCAAATTTTTTGAGGTCTCAATTCTTTTTACCATGAAATACTTCACTATTATTGAACCTTTTCTTTATCGTCTTTTAGCCTGAGTTATCAAAAAAGGGTATTTATGTATTATTATTAAAAAAAAGTCAGAAGTTTTTCCTATTAAAGCTCCTACAACATATGAGCAATGTTGGATGAAATTAGCTTATAAACACAAGGAAATTTTTGGGCTCGGTGCAGGTGCCTGAGATATCTGCAACAACTAAAGCAAGAGACCTGCCTGGTGAAAAACAAGTTTGAGAATCTATTCAGGGTCAGTACATAAGACTGCTGTGTTAAAAACTAGCAGATCCTTCTTAATTTCTAAGGGTTTTATATGTTAATTGCAGATGGAGCAACAAATCATGGCTGCTGGTGGGTCAATCCCTACAACAGAATTGCTATTCTAAGTCTGCTGATATTCACAAAAGGCTAGAGAATACTTCTGGAGTACTTGTTATTAGAGATGATGGGAATGTTGTTTTTCTTTTCGTTTTCTCGGAGGTCCTTGCGAAATTACTGTTCTTCTATTTGATGAGACCTGTGTGAAATTTTACTGCTGAGGAAGTATTTTCTAAACCATGTCACTTTCCTGGATGATGCCAATGTTATAAAATGGTTGTATTTAAAGATTCCAATGGAGTTCCACAATGTGAACAAGACCTGTCTTGGCATGTGCTTATAAATATTTGAGGACTCTTCTTTTCATGTTGGTTTTAAAGGTAAGAAAAAGCTCTACCAATCGTGTCTGAGTGCAGCTATTCCGCATGGATAACACGTTCGGGAGAGGGCTTTTATGGCTAGTTTTAAGGTCAACTACATTATCCCAATAGAGAACATAAATACTAGATATGAGACTATAATCTGTAACATGAAAGAAAGAAAGGATGCATTTTGCTGCCCCTCTTTGAAGACAGATTTCGATAATTTATCTGGAAGAAGGATCTTTCTTATGGAAGAGTGTGACATGCCTCTCAAGAGTGAGGGTGAAATTCTTGGACGGGTGAAAATTTCAATGGATATTTGTAAAGAATTGTCAGACGGCAACTCGGTGACAGAAATACTTGATGATTTATGAGGGAATTTAAGAATTGTCAATGGACTTATATAAAAATCCTCACTAAGTCTATGGATGGATATATAGCATTCATTAATTATGATCTTAAATAGCTCATACCGAGGATTTCAAAGAAATATTTCCTGCACACTTTTTTAAACGGTTCTTTTTCCCCCTACCACTTGTCCTATTCTAACATAGAAATCATAAAAACTTGAGTTAAACGAAACATAATGGTATACCCAGATACATACAATCATCAGAAGTTGGCAATAAGTTTTCTAAGATGAAATAACAGAAGTCCTGCCACTGAAATCTCCACATTTTATCTCCACACATGCACAACAAGAAAATTAATATAAGATATAGACATGAAACAAATTTTCTCACGCAAAGTTTTTTTTTAAAAAAAAGGGTAAAGCCTCGAGACGAGAAACTTTGTGATGGAAGAAGCAAGAGCTTTCACAAGGATGGAAAAGACTTTATTGAAGGTGATGTTTGAAGTAGCAGATTATAACATCAATCAAGACTACTATTCCATATTCATTTTAATTTTGTTCTCCCCAGCAATATTGAACAGATACTTTGTTCCAAGCTGTCATAACATAAGGAACTACGTAGTTGACAACAATTCATGATGTATCTTATCCCATTTAAGCTTATTTTGTGTTAATATTTAGAAAGATGAACTGCAGGAACTGCTAATGGTTTAGAGTCTCCTCTGGTTTTTTTCGATGTAGTGTTGTAGGGATGGAGACAATTATATGTCTATGATATTTTCATGTTTAATATAAAGGTTGAATTTGGAAATCTATCGTATTCTAGTGGCAGTCCATATTTTTCAGCTGGCATGGAGATTTGTAAGATTCGGTTTTCTTAGAGGGGAACAACAGAATGCAAAGATTTTGAGCTGTTCAACTCAACCAATTCAGACTCCAGAGAGCTAAGGATGGTCAAAATGCTTCTATTTCCCCTAGAAACCAAGATATTATATCTAGTTTACTCATTCAAAATCCTAATTCTGAAATTTACTAGTCTCCCTTTATCATAGCTACAGGGTTGATTAACTACAAGGATGATATAATGCGTCAAGTCTTGGATCAGAGGTTTCCTTGTACCTTGATTGGAGAAAAGTGTCTAGACTTAGTACAATGAATTTCAATGTGAAACTTCCTAGAAAACACTGTGTTACTTCAAACTTTGAAGTTTGTAACACGACTATCGTATCAATTTGCTCAAATATTCTGCAGCAATCCTTCCTTCTCTCCCTTCTCATGTTTACAAGGATGAGATGAGGTAGGTATACACGTTACGTTCAAAGACTTGGGACAGAGGTAACCACTTATTTCATATTAAGGAATTACCACAAAATAAATAACAGGAAAAAATAAATTATTTGCACAAGGGCAATAACTTAATGCAAGTGAGATTTGTCATGTTTGCTGCACTTGAGCTTGTGAGTAGCAGCAATGAAATGTGATTACAAGACAGTAGGGCAGTATGGCTTTCTTTCTATGGTCAACTACAGAGCCACTAAGTCTTCTGTTCTATCTAGACAGTTCCAAAGATATATGTCATTTTCTAAAATTTGTTTATTGAAGCCTACTCCATTATACTTCAACTAGTCGAGTTTGTTTGGAATTGCTCTATCAGCACTAAATGTCCAACTAGCAAGTCATAGTAACAAAAACTATCACAAGCTACCACTGCCATCTTCAGTTCTTGTCATCTTATGTACGCATTTCCACCTCTACCATGTTTTTAGTCTTAAATTATAAATACTCGTTCACAATGTCAGCCAAGGTCGCTCATGTAAGATACATATCTGGATCTGTTCAGAGGGAAGGCTAAGATTAAAAACTAGTTATATCTTCTTCCTCTTTTTTGTTTGTGTAAGAATACGTCTTTACGAAGTAGTGGTTCACCACGTCTCAGGTATAAATATCACTATACACAATATCCGAGTGACTAACAATGCATAGTGGCAACACTGAAGGCTGAACGCTGAAGCATTACGGTTTCTTTACCCTTCATTACCTTCATTTAACTAAACTAATTCAATAGTTGCTACTTCAGTCATTATATCACTTTATTACGACAAAACAAAAACAAAAGCAAAAACAAAACCAGATCCGTTGATTTATCTTTACTAATGCATATGAAACCATTCAATTCTCAGGACTAATCACAATTCAAATAACTGAGATTTTCACGAAACCTGATGAAGCAGCCTCCGAGCAGCAACCGATCCAGCCTTCTTTCCATCAGTTCCATCATGGACGCCCGAGTCCGACTCGTCGTGGTACCATCCCACCGATTTCTGAGCTTCAAGAACGATTTGAGAGAAACCTGAAATGCAGGTCCAACACAAAGAATTGAAACTCCATTTCAAATCACCGGCAAGCATAAACATACAAATTTCACATCAAATTAAACGCACCTTCTTTGACGGTCTGTTTGTTCTGGCGAATGTCATGGACAGTGGCGGAAATCTTCCAGTACAGAGGACGACCGACATAGAAAATGACGAGGAGGAGGACTACCACCATGACAACGCGAAATGTAATCCTAGCTGCCGACGACGCCATTGCTTCCGGTGGCTTTGTCTTGCAGAGAGAAACAGAGAGAAACAGAGAGAAAGAGAGCGAGAAAAACTGTGATCTACCAGAGCATAGAGATTCCCGCTATGCAGTTGAAATGGTTCGATCAGGCAAAAGGAAGAGTTGTTCAGCGGGTTCTCACAAAGGGGTATATATATATCGGAAAAAATATCTGTTTCTATTTTTCCATTTAATGATTTTTTTTTTCTTTTTTTGTCTTAAGCCATTTGTGTCGATTAAAATCGGGACAATATTTAGTTATTGTAAAATTTTATTTGTATTTTGATTAAATAAAAAAAACAATAATTAAAGGAATTGACTTTGCCACTTTGGCAATGTATATGTAGGATTGAAAATATAACAACCCGACAATTTGTAAAAAAACAAGATTTTTATAATTTAAAAATAGTATAATATTTTCTGTCTTTGCCCATTAAAATTATGCATGTATTTTTTTTTTAAATTTTAAAAAACTTAAAATATATTTATATGATATATTTGTAAGTTCTAAAAATTGATTCATTTATTAATACAAAACTAAATAAATTTTTAATTTTATATTTAATAGAACCGAATCAAATGTCTATCATTTAAAATAAATAGACACCAACTTGAACTAAATGTATATTTTTGTGCAAAAGCTAAAATTTAGCTCAATTTAATCACTATGATATGATGTGTTAGGTGGATTTGAGAACAATATAATTTCATATTGAATTTTGGATTTGATTTAATTTTAAAATCAATAATTTTGGATCGAAATAAGATGATAAAATACTCATAAGAGGGTAAGAAAGTAGACTTTAGACTAAGGTTATAAGTATGGCGTGGTCTATGGTATTCATAGGATTAATGAAATTATAATTTTAGATAAATAATGAGAACGAGGTAAGATAGAGTTAGGGATACACCTTATCTGACTCTAGAGTGTTTTTCCTCTTACTCCCGATTCATTCTTTAATTCATGTAACTCCAATGTTTTTTCGTCCCTATTCCCACTAAAAAAAATCAACTCCGACCATTTATACTGGGTACTAACCTTTACGAAATAAACCAAATTGGTTAGAAGCCGTTAATCAAATATCTTAATTTCTTTTACTCACGTTGTTAATCAAATATTTGGTCTCTATATGATATTTAAAGTCGGGATCTATAAAACTTTGGTTACATGGTGAGCACTGTGACCTACCCGAGCAACAAGCCATGGCCCTACATTATAAGAGAGTTTGGGGACGATGTCGAGAACGAGATGAAACGACGAGTTTCCTAATGACGATGGATTGAGAGCTTGCTTTGAGAAAGGACATCAAAATTTGCTATTCTTTCCCTCACATATAAGTTTGGATTTCAAAGTGAAAGATGAAAGAGATATTTACCATTATAAGCGGCTTATGCCCTGAAGACAAGCATAAGGAATGGCTCCAGCTTTGCTCGACGAGGGGCCTGCATTTCATACCACAAGAATTAATGATTACTTGAGAAGCAAGAGAAAAAGGAGTATATAAGCTAAGACTTCAAAACTATACTAGTAATGCAAAGGTTTCGCTTCATAGAAACCGAACCGATCCCGTTGATGCCTCCAAATTGTTGCCATACCATCAGTCCGACACCGATCTAATAACTATCATCAGAGCTACGCTTAGAAAAGAAACTCATGAAGAAGAAAGTTTTACAACAGCAGGCAAACAAGTCCAGGAGTCTGGCTTTTGGGAGACTTTGTAGAGTTTCATTGTAGTCCGGTTGGTAAATTAAAGGGTTCATTCTTTTTGGAAAAATCAAGAACTCACCAAATTCTCAATGAAAATAATGAGAAAAATACTTTGATTTCAGCAGCCTCATCAGAGATATCAGCATCCTTTCCACAAAGTCGCTGTAATGCAAACTTGAAAGTCCTTCTCATTGCCAACGTTTGCCTGAAAATAAGAACCCTAGTTTCAAATTCGTTTCTTCTATTCCGTTTTTCGGTCAGGAAACACAAAGTGAAAAAAGTTTGGATTATAGGAATGCTGCATTACGAGCCATCGAGGAGACGACTCCAGAACAAAAAAACAGACCAACAATCAGAAAAACACATGGAATGATTCCTACAGATCAATGGTTCAGTAAAATAGTATATTAGCCTTATATTGATAATTATATCCAATATTTTTCTTTACATTACAGTATAACACCATCTCAACTGATCTGAACAAACAAACTAATATGTATCTAAAACAGAGAGAATTTGCCAGTTAAAGCAAGAGTGCTCCATGTTACCACTGTTCCTAATAAGAAAGCAACGATAACGACCTTGTAACAATCATAAGCTGCACGGAAAATGAGGAGGGATGCTAAAGAAAATTAGTGACTTGTTATTAGATAACCATCTTGTTTAAACTCGTTAACTAAAAATTTCTTTGTTTTTCTAAGGGGGTCTATGTTTTTCATCTTCTACACCTGCTCGAGTGTGTTAGGCCTCCTCGTAGATTTTGGTGCTATTTCCTCTATGAATATAGGAATCAATCACAACAACAGGTTTTGAAAATTTTAACATGAAAGCATTCATATAAGAGAAGAGGAAAGCAATACAGGCATTGCTAGAATGCGAAGAGTTAGAATAATTAGAAATATTTGTAGAAAACTTCACCACATAGGAGAAAACTCCGATCCCATAACCAGTGAGCACCCTTCCAAAGTCCAAAGTCCAGTGAAAAAGCTTCCTGCGGTAGAATCACGACAAACCATACAAGCAATGTCAGTCAGATGAGTTATTGCATCTTCTTAGTGAAGGATCATGTGTTCAAAAAATGCATATAGCACATATCGCTGAAAAATAAACCGCTAGCCAACCCGTAAGGCAACGTGTACCAAAACTCTCATAGCCTGTACATATCTCCAAGATGATCGGTAAATAGTCAACGATGGCAAAAAAAAAAAAAAAAAACTCAATCAAACCTAAAAAATCTAACCAACTTACCCCTTTTTGACTGATGAAGTCTGCAATCAATCCGCTTGTAACAGAACCTACCATTGCTCCAATTGTTTCTTTAATGAGAAATCAAATGTATTGAGGAACATGAAAGAATATACATGTACAAAAGAAAAAAACAACACAACAATAGGAGACCCCTCAAAGAAAAGAAATCAATCCAAAATAATTAAACTAACCTGAATAGTACAAAAATCCGAGAAACAGAAGCCGCAAAGAAGTATTAAATCAAATGATATCCCAGACATCAAATACATTTGTTAGTTGAACCTTCATGAATGGAGTGATATGCAAGTTATCTACATCAATCAATCTTTACGAGTTGACATACACAAATTGAACATGGATTTGATATCAATTTTCCAATTCACATTAAGAATTGGAATGAAAAAAATCACTAGATATATTGAACAGGGAAATTTTAAGAAGCAATAGAGATGATTGCTAACGACAATAGTCCAAAAGGGGCTGGCAAAGATTGGTTGATTCTGTTTGCAACAATGTATCGGGTTTGCAACCCGAGACATACACAAAATATTTCATTGTTATGAAGAAAAAAGTTTAACTCAGAGAAGGTACGCAACAACAGTACATGCTCATTGCAAACAAGAAAAATTTATTGTAATCAGTTTACATATATGGGGAAAATCATTCCAAGGGACATGCTTTCTCGAATGCTTCCTGCTCTTTGCGACATAAATCAAACTCATTTGTATTGTAGTACATGCAACCGACATAAGCATCCATCTCTTTTGTGCACCTTTGATGAAGATCTTTAAGCCTGCAAACAGAAGCAGCCTCTCGGTTAATTATTTAACAAGTACTAATGTTTACTAAACAAAGCTATTATCTCTAAATATTGTGAAATGAAAATTGTTCATTCATCAATGATATTTCTCGTATCATTCACTTGTATTCACAAATTTTTTTTTCAAACCGTTGGATGATGGAAGTCCCACATCGGCTAATTTAGGGAATGATCATGGGTTTATAAGTGAGGAATACTAACTCCATTGAAATGAGGCCTTTTGGGGAAGCCCAAAGCAAAGCCATGAGAGCTTATGCTCAAAGTGGACAATATCATATCATTGTGAAGAGTAGTGTTCGTCTAACATGGTATCAGAGCCATGCCCTAAACTTAGTCGTGCCAATAGATTGGTAAATCCTCAAATCCTCAAATATCGAACAAAGAACTCTTAAAGAAAAGGAGCCAAGCCCCTCCTCGAAGGCAGTAAAAAATGACTAAGACTCCAAAGGAGTCGAGCCTCGATTAAGGGGAGGCGCACTTTGTTCGAGAGGAGGTGTTGGATGATGGAAGTCCCAAATCGGCTAATTTAGGGAATGATCATGGGTTTATAAGTGAGGAATACTAACTCCATTGGAATGAGGCCTTTTGGGGAAGCCCAAAGCAAAGCCATGAGAGCTTATGCTCAAAGTGGACAATATCATACCATTGTGGAGAGTAGTGTTCGTCCAACACAAACAAGATGGGAAATTTTTTATCGATAAAATGAGAGGTAACAAATGTCTGATAATACAAACCTTCAAAGGGAGAGAAGAAAAAGAAAAGAGAAAAGTAACAAACTATATGAAAATATGAAACCATCCCTATTCAAGCAAATATTCTAAAAAGAGAAATGACCAATAAATTTAGACAAAGAACACCACTGTGAAGCTTTCAATCTGGGAAACTCAAGCCGCTCAAACCAACATTGTTGCTTATTCAAAATTCCTTTGAAAGCAGTCCAACCAAAACTCAGAAACAATAGCTTTGACGTTATTAACCCATAACAAACGTAATCTTGGAGAATATAGGGGACCAAGTAAAAGATGAAGAAAACTACTCTTCGTGTCATTTGTAAAAACCCAATGTACAACAAAAAAAAAAAAAATTGTAATAATTAATGATAACAAGCCGTAGCCATAAAAGCTTTCTAGATAGAGGTTTGACTTCAAAAAAAAAACTTGAAAAATCAACTATCCAGCCTCTTGAAACTGGAAATTAGCATAACCTAGCAAATTCCAGCTCAACCAACCGAAAGTTGTTCATTGAATTCCTCATCCAAAGATTAGAAATGCTGAACCATGAACTGTGAAACTACCACTTCAATGCCACTAAAGAGATCTAAATCATGAATGCTTGCAATCCTTCAAAATCTGGAAGACCTCCACAATCCAATATTTCCACCGTGCACCTAAGCTAAAGGTGCTTAACTATGAACGGGTGATTTCGGATAATGTCTACCATGCTCACCATAAATTTAGTCAGATAAAAGATTATCAACGTAAAATCTTACCAGCACCGGCACTAATAATTTTTATATCAAGTTTAAGAAACAACCCTTACTCTTCCTAGTCTTCTACTCTAGCGGATCAGATAACGACCATATGATTGCTAAAGCAGTGTATTACCTAATCATGTATTTGCTTGCAGATTAGAAGACGATCATATGATAACTAAAGCAAATTTCCGGAAAATATAAACCAAAGCCGATGAAAAGTGGCGAATTCGAACTTCGGCTATGAAAACAACAAAGAGGTAATTCACTTACAGGGAGAGGACGCAGCGAGTAACTTGTTGGCCTTTTTCGAGGCATTTCTCCGGGTTCGGATCCTTCCTTTTGCACTGGAGGTATGCCACATTCTCCGATCGACACATGTTCGCAATGTGCTTTGACGAGGACATTAACACCGCTGATGTAGGAATCGGATCTCCAGCAGCATCGACTGCACTCGCCATCTTTAATTCGATCAATTCCTGATTTCACCAAGAAAAAACAACAGAAAAAAGATCATTTAGCATGGTAATCGTTGCAGAAAGAAAAAAAAAAACTGCTCATAAATCATGGCAGGAAATACGTCCCCATCCTAATTCATTTTCTCATTACCAACCAAACGAACTGCCTCTCGATACAAAAAGAAAATCCAACTAACAGAATGAAATTTCGTTTCAGAAATGGAATTTTTCAAACCTTTCAATCCACTGGGTTCGAGTTTCGTGAACTAAAGTGAGAATCTGAGAGAAATGCAGACAAGACCCCGAGTGAGGAGAAAGCAGAGTGATAGGGTTAGGCAAAGTTGTATTATTATTCTGATCACGGGGGTATTTATGTCTTTCAAATCGGTTAAATTACAAAATTGTTTAAAATGTATTAAAATTAGTGTGTAAAATACTCTTAAAATTTTTTTAAAAAATTAATTAATACATTTTCAACCATTTTTAAAAATAATTTTAAAATATTGTTAAGGTTAGTCCCATATTTAAAAAATATCTAATTTTTATAAACAAAATTTTAAAAAGTATTTTTTAAATAAAATATTAATAACTTTCATCTAGGATATTTTTTAAGGTGTATTTTTTAATTTTTTTTTAGTCTAAAGATATTATTGAATATTAAGTGTATTTTTTTTAAATGAAATATAAAATTCATGATTTTTTTTTTAATTAATTTAGCCAATATCATATAAACCGAGTGTCTATACGTCGATGGAACAAGATTCAACATACTTGATGTCTGAATGTGGAGGCAAAGAGAATTTGTAACATAATCGAAAGTTTTTAGCTGTGAACGACAAACTTCAAACTAAAATTTGAGGAAGAAAGAAACAATGTTTAACTATGTGAAAAATATGAGTTTGAGCGGTTACAAACGGTATCAAAACTAGGCACCAAACAATATGTCAACGAGAACGTTGGCCTCAAAAGAGAATGGATTGTAAGGTCCCACATCAATTAAATAAACAAACTAAACATTAGTTATAAGGGTGTAGAAACATTAGTTAATGCCCTTTCAAACTGTATGGTTAGCTAGCCACATACCACCTTATTGAGCCCACGTTGAGTTTTTTATTTGCGACATTTTTTACTGTGCGGCGTCATGATTTTGGCACGCTCACGACCAGTTTTAAGGGGAATTAAGCCCCATATATACTTTTCACTTCACTCTAGGTGAGGTTTGTCTTTGCCAATCGAACATCGCTTGTCCGGAATCTAAGCTTGTTCAACCACACACGCCGCCTGCGCGTGCATGTTCAATCGTCTGCGACACATCCGACTTGCCTCTACACTCAGCCAAGTCATTCGGCTCAACCTTGCCTCTGCTCAGGGTCAAGGTCTCTCAATGCAATGTCGCATCTCGTCTTGTCATCTCGATCCCCATCGTTATGGTCCATATGTTTTGACGTCATCCCGAGTCTCGGGATGTCGTCAGCCATCACAACTCGTTTGGTCATGCCATCGAGAATGGGCCCCCGTGTCACTCATCTCATCAAGACTTCCCAAACATCTATCTATCCGAGTTCTTAATATGTGTCAAAGATTTCGAAATGGTATCGAGCAAAAGTTAATTCGTTGAGGCTGACGACGATATGTAACAAGCAAAAGTGGACAATATTTATTAGCGGTGGGCTTGTGCTGCTACAAATGGTATTAAAGCCATATACCGAGCGGTGTGTGAACAAGGACGCTAGACCTCTAGGATGATGGATTGTGAGATCCCACCATTAATTGACAGTGATATATAACGAGCCAAAACGGATAATATCGGTTAGCGGTGAGCTTGAGTTGTTACGGTTTATGATAATAATAGGATAATGAGAAACATTATAAATGGAACGAACTCATTTCACTAGAGAAATATGCAACATTATCCTAACTCAACTTAACACCATTTTCGGTTTAAGTCTGAGCGTGTTGGCACAACACTACACTAATGCAAACATTAGATTGATCTAAAACTGGGACCAAATTTTTTCTTATTTTCATTCCTAATTTTTAATTAAAAATATTACCTAAATAACTGCCGATTTTTCGGAAGTTTATGCTTTAAAAAATTAATTAAAAAAAAAATCAGTTTATCCACGTATCTATTTTGGGATTTGAGTCGACGTGGACCAATAAGAAAAGACCAAACTCCAAAGCTGCTCGCCCATCCACCGTCGATTCTATGTTTTATCAACGCCAATTCCGCACACGCTTCACCTCTCCATTGGGTTTTCTATCTTTTCTCGTTAAATTAATTCTTCCACTTCATTCACCGCCACTTCCCTTCCCCTAGTGGCAAGAAAAAGTTGGTTCAATTTTTCTACCCCGTGTCTCTCCTTAAATGACACGTAGAAAGTGGATGTACCGTGTCTCTCTGTTTTTTCTGGATTTCTTCAGCTGAGATTTGATTGTAGCGATTGAAGTTGTTTGATTCTCCATTTTTGGTGGTTGCTGAGCTCCAATGGCGCCCTGTACGCTAGCTTTTCCTGCTTCTATCAGTCGAGTTGCAGTCAAAGAACATGAAGGTTTGAGTGCTGTTTCTTCTCGATTCTTATGGGGAATGGATCTAGACTTTCGATTTAAGAAGAGGGTCAATCAGGTAAGGCTTTAAAACCGATGAAAAAAACATGCCCACTAAGTGTTTGATGAAATGCCCAAGTGAGAAGAAAAGAATATTTTCTATCTTTTTTGCAACTGAAAATTGGAATTATGGATTTTTCTTTTCACCTTTTGAATAATTAAGTTTTGAAAGATGTGTGGCTGTTTGCTTTTGTTTGAGGTAGGTCAAGAAGAGGCCCGGCGGGATCTGTGCATCACTTTCAGAGACAGGGGAGTTTCCTTCACAAAGTCCACCGACTCCTCTTTTGGACACTATAAACTATCCAATTCATATGAAAAATCTATCCATTAAGGTATATATTAATATATCCTAATCTTTTTGACTTTGAAACTTTTAAATTTTGTGATAGTTTAATATGATATTAGAGTAGAAACGGAATTTCAAAAGCTACACTCTTGGAAATGTTTGGTCTTGTTCTTGGGGGTATCGTTGACTCAGGAGCTTTGTCAACTAGCTTATGAATACTAATTTTTTTAACTCTTAAACCCGTTTTAACACTATTTGAAATGTTTGATTGCTTCTTGTGGTATCGTTGACTCAGGAGCTTTGTCAACTAGCTGATGAAGTAAGATCTGATGTCATCTTCAACGTGTCGAAAACTGGTGGTCACTTGGGTTCCAGTCTTGGCGTGGTGGAGCTCACGGTGGCTCTTCACTATGTCTTCAATACCCCACAGGACAGGATTCTGTGGGACGTTGGCCATCAGGTGCCGTTCTTCTTGCCTTCCCGGTGAGAGATATGGTGTAATAGCCCAAGCCCTCCACTAACAGATATTGTCCACTTTGGCTCGTTACGTATTGCCGTGAGCCTCACGGTTTTAAAATGCGTCTGGCTGAAGATGATACGTAACGGACAAAAGCGGACAATATCTGTAAGCGGTGGGCTTGGGCGGTTACATATGGACTGGCCATTTTGTTTTAATACTAGTTTGAATTGGTGATTGCAGTCTTATCCGCACAAAATTCTAACTGGAAGGAGGGATAAGATGTCTACTATTAGACAGACAAACGGGTTGTCGGGATTCACAAAACGCTCGGAGAGCGAATACGATTGCTTCGGCACGGGTCACAGCTCTACCACCATTTCAGCAGGCTTAGGTGATTGCTTTTAAACTCCAACTGGGAGCTGAAGAAAGATAAGATGGTTTTGTGAGAGAGTATATTCAGAACATAATGAGCTACTGTTTTAGATTTTCCTATCCTATTGATATTTTGGGGTTGTGCTTAAGTTTTCAAAATATTTGTGATTTACTTCAGTGAGATATTTCACAGCAATTCTTATGTTGTACCTCAATAGGAATGGCTGTGGGAAGGGATCTTAAGGGAAGAAAGAACAATGTGGTTGCAGTCATAGGTGATGGTGCCATGACTGCAGGGCAAGCTTATGAAGCCATGAACAATGCGGGGTACCTCGACTCGGACATGATTGTTATTCTTAACGACAACAAACAGGTCTCTTTACCAACTGCAACGCTCGATGGGCCCGTACCGCCCGTGGGAGCTTTGAGCAGTGCTCTCAGCAGGCTGCAGTCAAACAGGTCACTCAGAGAACTGAGAGAGGTAGCCAAGGTAAGAAATAACAAACCAAATCTAACCGTCACGCCTTGATCCTTCAATCTGAACGATCTCGGGTTTAATTATCCTTATACCAATGATGTTTCAGGGTGTCACGAAACAAATTGGTGGTCCTATGCATGAATTGGCAGCAAAAGTTGATGAATATGCTCGTGGGATGATCAGTGGTTTTGGATCCACATTATTTGAGGAGCTCGGGCTTTATTATATCGGCCTGTCGATGGTCATAACATGGACGATCTTGTTTCCATTCTCGAGGAAGTCAAGAGTACGAAAACTACAGGTCCAGTCCTCATCCATGTCGTCACTGAGAAAGGACGAGGCTATCCATATGCCGAAAAAGCTGCTGACAAGTACCACGGTAAATTAAAGATTCAGGTCGAAAAATGATCATTGTTTCGGAAATTGAGTTACAACCTACAATTGTGGCTTGTTTATGCAGGAGTCACAAAGTTTGATCCTGCAACTGGAAAACAGCAGAAAACGAAGGCTGCAACGCAGTCGTATACGACATACTTCGCGGAGGCATTGATTGCAGAAGCGGAAGTGGATAACGATATTATTGCAATCCATGCTGCAATGGGAGGAGGCACAGGCTTAAATCTCTTCCAAAGACGTTTCCCGACGAGATGCTTTGACGTCGGTATAGCTGAACAGCATGCTGTTACATTTGCTGCTGGTCTAGCCTGTGAAGGCCTAAAACCGTTCTGTGCGATCTACTCGTCGTTTATGCAAAGGGCGTATGACCAGGCAAGCTTTTGCTTCTTGTCGACCCTTAACCAAGTCGAAACAAGTTTGTTTTCGTTGAATTTCAACGAAATGTCGTGTTTGAATTGCAGGTAGTTCATGATGTCGATTTGCAAAAGTTGCCTGTGAGATTTGCAATGGACAGGGCAGGCTTGGTTGGAGCTGATGGACCAACCCATTGTGGTTCTTTTGATGTTACGTTCATGGCATGCCTGCCTAACATGGTGGTGATGGCCCCATCCGACGAGGCCGAGCTCTTTAACATGGTTGCTACAGCTGCAGCCATAGATGACCGACCGAGCTGTTTCCGGTATCCACGAGGTAACGGTATCGGTGTTGAGCTGCCACCAGGGAATAAAGGCATTCCCCTTGAGGTTGGAAAAGGCAGGATTTTACTTGAAGGTGAAAGAGTGGCACTCTTGGGCTATGGAACAGCAGTTCAAAACTGTTTGGCTGCTGCATTGATCGTCGAACGCCATGGATTACGAATAACAGTTGCCGATGGACGTTTCTGCAAGCCACTCGACCGAGCCCTTATCCGATCTCTAGCTAAATCGCACGAGATTTTGATCACAGTGGAAGAAGGATCGATCGGGGGATTCGGGTCTCGTGTCATCCAGTTCCTGGCTCTAGATGGCCTTCTTGATGGCAACTTGAAGGTGAAAATCTCATACAAGCCAAGCCACCTTTAAGATTTTTGTACCTAATTCACTAATCTAGCTAGCATTCCATATATTGCTTGCAGTGGAGACCGCTGGTTCTTCCGGACCGATACGTCGAGCACGGTTCGCCAGCCGACCAACTGGCTGAAGCAGGTCTTACTCCATCTCACATTGCTGCTACAGTATTCAATATGCTGGGACAAATCAGGGAAGCTCTTGAAGTCATGTCATAGAAGAGAACTTTGTGAGTCTAAGCGTTACCCTTCTTTACAAATTTCAAATCTGCTGTATATTCAAATACTTCTTGTACAATACTAGAAGGCTCATGCTTTTATGCAAGATTCCACCCTTTACCATTCTTAGGATTCGATCCCGTTACTTTGTCGATATTTTCGGTATTAAAATTGAAAAAATTATATGAAAAATATCAAAATTTACGTTCAGCTTGACAAATTGTATCAAACTTTATTCTAAACGTTTGATTTCATTTATTTATTTTTATCTTGAACGTGGAAGAACACTCGAAGAACACACTCGGTACATAGTTAATCTTACATAAATATAATTTTTATTACTTTTCATCTACTGGATTCGTTTTATATAATATAAAGTTAAACCGATTTTAGGATTGGATAACTAAGAAATGCTTAAAAGAATTGAAAATTAGTCGTGTACCAATACCGATGCACCTTCCTTTTCAGTAGCTCAATTATAGGAATTCCAAGGTTAAGTGTGTTTTTCTTAGAACAATTTTAGATAACCTGTGGTAATTTTTCTAGGATGCATGTGAATGAGGACAAAACATGTTGGAAAGACTCGTGTTGGTATGTGGGGATAGTTTTCACTTTCAGAAGCAAGGAATGAGTACTGAGTGTTGGTATGTGAGGATAGTTTTCACTTTCAGAACCTAGGAATGAGTACTGAGTTTGTGACCATGTCGTAGGGAATTGTCAGGGCGATTAGATGCCGAATCTTGGGCATAAGTCGTTACACTAATTCTAAGGCGTTCAAACGGTAAAATCACTTACCTCAATAGATTTTCGACAACAAAAATTCATGCCGCACAAATGGAAGCGTCCGGAAAAAATAGTGTTTGCATGGATAAAAATTCTTATACGTCTTCTATATCAAACGTTTTTAATTAACTATTGAATTCCATTAAACATAGAGAAATTAATTAAAATATGCATATATAGAATTTATGTATACCCACATAATGTTACATATATTTAATCAACATTGAATACATATAAATATAGCTTCTTCAATACCACACATACATATAAAACCAAAGTACAAATAATTAAACTGAACAACACATAATAATAATAATAATAATAATAATAATAAACTCAATTAACAAAACGACATCGTTTCCTGATTTCACCATTCTTGCCAGTGAGGACTTCAATGGCTGACATCTTCAACATGGAGTTAGCAAAGCTAGGGAAGAAAGCTTTGGGCTTCTGCAACTCTTTGACGATCCGAGACGACGAGTCGTCGGTCAAGAGCGCCGCATCGGATTGAAACAAACCTTTGTGCTGTGTGAGGATCTTGAAATAATCAGTGTCAAATGAACGTGAACTCTTTGGGTCCATTTCTACGGTAATTGAAGAATCAGCTGGATTTGGACATTTTTGTCTTAGAAAGTTGGCGTAGATTGGATTTAATGAAGGATCTGCGTCCCCTTGGCCTGTGAAGTTGTAGAGCCTCCTTGAGAATGTGCCACAATGAGCTACTCCAATTGTATGCCCACCTAAATAATAACACGCCCGAAAAACGAGTCGGGTTAGATGTTTTACTCGACCCCTCCAGATTCTGAATCGAGGAGGTCATCGAACTTTAAAACGTTCCTAATAGATCTCGAAACTTTACCGTAAAAATAAAAATCTTGAAATTTTCAATTTTATTTTTTAACTATTAAGCATGTCAATCTCAATTCATTAAAAAAATTTAATTTTGTTAATTTAAATATATTTTTTGTATATTATTTTATTTTTATTTTTTATTTTAGTAAAGTTGGTGAATTATAAATCTGCAAATATTTTTTTTTAATTTGAGAAATGATTAAATATTATTTTCATGCATGCACCTTTTTTTTTACGTACGTGCGAAAACATGCATGATTTTCTTTCATTTTATATATTTTTTTTATATAATATTATTATATATAAATGATTTTTTTTTGTTCAATTAAATTACCTGATAAAATCACCAGATCGCTCACGGTAAGGCCTTTATTCTCAAAGATTTGCTTAAGAGTGGTGAAATTAGAGAACGGCGACGGGATATTGCCGGTAACTTCCGATGATCGCGAAACAGTTCCATCTCTTCTTCCGGTTAAAACTGGCCACAGCCGCCGGTTTTTGAACTACATAGGAATTCATAGAAATTAATGACTGATCTAATAAATTAAATTTGATATATTTAATATTTTCATAATTTTCTTCTTTTTTTTTTTTTGTTGAAAATTTTAATAAGAGACGAGACAACTCACCGGAAAGGAAACAGCATCACGAGCAGAAACGGCAAGAATGTCGGCACACGAGACAACTCCAGGGCAAGCCTTCTCAACCTCCGACTTGATTGTGTCAATGGCATCGAACCCTAATAACGATAAGTTCGGTCTTGCTTCCTTCTCCGACGGGTTTCCGGTGATACTATCTAACAGAACCGAGGCATCGCATCCCTATCATACATCAACTCAAATCAATAAGTCATGTTATACCAATATTTAAAAATTTTCGTACTCGTGAGCTTGAAAATTAGTCGAAATTTCGATAAATTAAAACTAATAATGATCGAGAGTTTAGAAATAGACATACCCGAACGAAGCAGTCGTGGAATTGAACTCGGAGGAGTTGCGCTCCGAGACCGGGGTTCGATCGAGCGAGTCGGAAGGTGGTGTCTCGGATAATTCTCAAAGCTTTGGGGCAGGTTCGCCAATAGGCATTATTGCTCAGAGCGCCCTTGGGGACGGCTTGAACAGCAACGAGAGTACTGAGAAGCAGTACAGAAAAGAGGGAGAAGAAGCCATGATTTGAAGCTCTCATTTTTTGAGATTTTTTCGAGGGAAAAAAATAAATATTAAAATAAAAATAGAAGAAGAAGTGGATTGGTGCAAGAAACACAAAGGAAATGGGAACCTTTTATAGGCAAAAATGGAGAAACTAAAAAAATTAAAAATTAAAAAATTAAAAAATTAAAAAATTAAAAAAAAAAGTCATACAATTTGGAATAATAAATTATGTAAAGTCAAAGGCTTATCCCATAATTAAGGTCCGGCTTGTGGCTATGGAGTATGGATATGGGTCAATTTTTAAAATTTTATTTTAAAATAATAAAAATATTAAAATAAACTGAGAATCTTTCTATACACCACCCTTTAAATTTAAATTTTTGGATAATAGAAGTATAAATATTTTTAAAAATTTTACTTCGAATTGGACTCGTTTTTAACAATTTAACAGTGATGTATGTACAAATTTTGATTACCGACGTACATTAAAGTATTATTCATTTATAATTTTTTTTTTGTCTTTTAAATTTTTATTATTATGATTCATCTTCGATAAGTTGACCGTTTAAATTATTTAATACTCTTTTAAAAGCCGGACCTTTATGCTAATATTGTGCTAATTTTTTTTTTCTTATAAAAAATAGTTTTGATGATTTATATATATATTAACTATTCTGTTTTATTTATCATTTATATTTCAATATTGGTTTGTTATGATATAAAATATATATATATATGGAATTTTCAAAAATATTTTAGATGGGATTTTAATTTGTTGGTGTGAGATTATTCCAATAATGTTGGAATTCGATGTATAATGTGTTTTAAGTCATCTTTTTAAAGGAAATGGTTTTTTTTCGTGGAAATTATAAATAAAATTAGATGAATATATAAAGTTTCTTCATCTTAAAGAAAAAAAAAAAAACTTAAAATATGATATTTCTTTCATGAAAAGAAAAGCACCCAATATGATTTGTTATGTATAAAGAAATTGTTTTAAATATTTTGAGTATTTTAACAAATATTATTCGCTTTAGTTCGTTACATATAGTCGTCAGCTTCACAGTTTTAAACGCGTCTATTAGGGAGAAGTTTTCACACGTTTATAAGAAATGTTTCGTTCTTATCTCCAACCAACGTGGGATCTCACAACTTACCTCCTTTGGGAGCCCAATATCCTCGTTGGTACACTGCTCGATGCTGGCTCTAATACCATTTGTAACAGCTCCAGCCTACTGCTAGCAGAAATTATTCATTTTGGCCCATTACATATCGCTCTCAACCTCACACACCTACTAAGAAAATGTTTCCACACCTTTATAAATAATGTTTCGTTCTTCTCTCCAACCAATATGAGATCTCACTCACCAGTACATGTATAAGATACTATCATTATCATCTAAACAATTAGACATCCAACCTATAATCACAAACACCCAATTGCGAAAACAAACCTCCCGGAATCAAGTGGGACCTGCATGAAGAAATGTATTCGGTCAAACTTTTTTTTTTTTTTTCATTTTAATGATTAATTTAAAAATAATTTCTTTAAATAAACAAAAGAAAACAAAATCTTTAAAAGGACATGGTTTCTCCATATGCCTCCATCAAACAATTCTATTGGACATCGTCAAACAAATAAAAAATAATAATACTTTCAAATTATTCCTTAGAACCAAATAATTAATTTGCATGATAAATTCAAACTACACACATTATTTAAAGTATATGGTTGACCTCAACCCTATGATTTTTTATTTTAAATAAAACTGTCCCCTCTTTATATAATAATGTTTGGTGAATGTATATTCATGGAAGCAACTCATAATTATTTTGATATATATATATATTTGGACTTTGTTCTAAGTCCAAAAGGCTTTATAATTATATCCAATTCATGGGAGCCTTATTTAAAGAAATTTTTTGCCTTTTTGGTTCACGAGACCAAATGCATACAATGAATATTAATGTTTGAATCTCCACTTGTATAGATAAGCATTTAGAGACCCATTCAAACCAGATCACTTCTCCTTTAATTATTATTTTATCTCGTTTAATAAAGTTTTTATAATTATTTTAATTTCAAATTTTAAATATTATATAGTTATTTTTAATTTCACTTAAAATTCAAGTATTTTTCTAAGACGGGTTTTAAAACTGGAATAAAATGGACAATATCTGTTAGCATGGGTTTGAACAATTATAGATGGTATTAGAGCCAGGCGGTGTATCGACACTGGGCCCACAAGGAGAGTGAATTGTGAGATCCCACATCAGATAGAGAGAGGAATGAAGCAATAATTATAAGTATGTGGAAACCTCTCCCTAGCAGACATATTTTAAAACTGTGAGGCTGACGACAATACGTAACGAACTGAAGCGGACAATATTTGTTAGCGGTGGGATTGGACTATTATGCCTCGAACTTTAATCGTGCTGGTAAAATCCTCAAGCGTGAAATAAAGAAGTGGTGAATGGAACAAGTACTAGTCGTGGGATTTGTGGTTTAGCTCTATTGAACAAGCATCATGCTCGAGATTAGGGTTGACTTGAAAAAATATTTTTTAAAAATTGGATAAAGGAGAAAACATGCCAAAGAAAATTCCAAAGAAATGAAGCATAATTAAAAAATAAATAAAAATAATAATAATTAGAAATTAAATATGAAATTGAAAAAATAATAAGTATACGTTAAAGGAAGAATGGAGGAAATAACGATAATGATATAATATATGTGGGTGTGACATAATACATGAAATTATAAGAGAGAATCATTCAAAATGCTAGCTGTTTATTGAAATGATTAACCGTTAAGCTTTGAAATTGAGACAAAGCTCCGACCAATTATTAAAATTAATTTTAAAATGATTAATTTTCTAACAAATCTTGACTAAAGGGAGGGAGAGAATATTGAGATTGAGACGAGGAAGGTCAAGCCGAAGCCGCTCCACTACTCAATGGTGTTGGAAAATAATTATATTCTAAATTCTAATATTTAAATATTTTTAACTTATGAGTAAATATTAATAAATGGCTCAATTTTTATTTATGATATATATCACCTATCAAAAAAATCAAAGGGTTAAATTCGATCGTTAATGAATTCTTGGTGTAATACTAACTTTATAATAATTTGTGTCTGAATTTTTTCCGGGTTAAGTGTGAGCTTATCGAGCTAAGGCTCATCCGTGTAAGAACTAGAAATTCCTCTTCCAACTCGTCTCGGAATGGACATTATGACAAAAAAGAATATTGAAATAATAGGCTAGTTGATTCATTGCTTGACCGAGAGGGAGAGACAATGGAAATGTTAGACGAGAGGGAGAGACAACGGAATTTACTATGAAGCATGTAAATGAGGACAAAATATGCTTAAATAACTCGAATTGGTCTGTGGGAATAGTTTTTACTCTTAAGAGCGAGAAATAAGCAAGTGACCATGTCGTAAGGGAATTTCAGGGCTATTAAATACTGAATCCAGATTTCGAATCATGTGCTTGTAGTAGATAAGTTGTGCTGTGATTTCTTACCTGAAAATTATTTTACTATTTTTAATCCAAATTAATTTTTTTTTATTAATAGTAATATTAGATTCAAATTAAAAAAAAATTAATTTAATAAACTAAAATAGACATGTTGGTATAAAAATGATTAGAAAAGACAACAAATGGTAATAAAGGTAAATTAGTTGAGTTGTAATAAATACAAGTTGACAAATATTTCCGTCAACTCTTTACTTGGAAACTTTATCGTGTTTTGCCAGCTGTATTGAAGCTGTCAAACGCGGCGCTAAGTGAGCGTTGAAAGCAAAATCTTTTTCTCAATCTACGCGTTCTTTCATTTTTTTTGGAAATTCACTCAAATTATCATTTTTGTTCCTAATTTAGAATTTAAGTTAATTTATCAAATCATTTTTGAACTGGATAATGAAAGTCCCACATCATCTAATTTAGAGAATAATCATGGATTTATAATTAAAAAATATCATCTTTATTGGTACGAGACATTTTGGAGAAGCCCAAAGCAAAGCCATAAGACTTTATATGCTCAAAGTTGACAATATCATACAATTGTGGAGAGTCGTGTTCATCTAACATGGTATTAGAGCCATGCCCTAAACTTAGTAATGTCAATAGAATCCTCAAATGTTGGACAAAGAATTCCAAAAGAAATAGAGTCGAGTATCAACTAAGGGGAGACGTATTTTGTTCGAGAGGAGGTGTTGGATGAAAGTCTCGGGAAGCCCGCTCAAAGTGGACAATATCATACCATACCATTGTGGAGACTCGTGTTCATCCAAATGTCGGACAAAGAACTTCAAAAGAAATAGAGTCAAGCCTCAACTAAGGGGAGACGTATTTTGTTCGAGGGGAGGTGTTGAATGAAAGTCTCGGGAAGCCCAAAGCAAAGCCATGAGAACTTAGGCTCAAAGTGGACAATATCATACCATACCATTGTGGAGACTCGTGTTCATCCAAATGTTAGACAAAGAACTCCAAAAGAAATAGAGTCGAGTCTCAATTAAGGGGAGACGTATTTTGTTCGAGGGAAGGTGTTGGATGAAAGTCCCGGGAAGCCCAAAGCAAAGCCATGAGAACTTATGCTCAAAGTGAACAATATCATACCATATCATTGTGGAGACTTGTGTTCATCTAACTGGCACAACAGCGGCAGGAAGCTTTTTTCGGTTTCAATCATGTCCCAATTTTCATCTCCACAGAAATTTTTATTTATTTTTGAAGAGATCAAATTTTTCATGGATAATTTTTTTCTTATAATTTTTATAAAAAAAAATGTAAATAAAGAGAATAATATTAAGCAAGCAAAAATATAATATAATATTACAACACAATATTTATTTTTTAAAACACTTTCATAATTAACTCTTTCAAAACTCCTACAAACCCTGTTTTAATCGTGAACAAAAATCGGAGAAATGAACGGTTATTTTTCATTCTTAAATATCGATTTAATTATGCAAACTCAAGGCGATCGAACGACGTCGTTCCAAAGCCGGCCCGCAAAGACGGATTTGGAGATTATAAGGCCCAATTAGCTGGCCCATAAGCAAACAGAATTTAAAAAAAAAAAAAAA